CATCATCACCATCATCATCATCACCACCACCATCATCATCACCATCATCATCATCACGTCTTCCCTTCTTCCCCCTCTCGCATCCTGCATGGTCTCAGTGGACACAGCAGATGCTGTGAGTGCCCAGCCCTGTCTCCGGGGCCCGTGCTCCAGGTCACCTCCAGCTTTGGAGGGTGGTTCCCACGCACACCAGGGATGTCCCACCTCCAGCACCTGTGTCCCTTCCCTGCCTGAAGCCCTTCTCTGGCCCCAGGTGTGTGCTAGGCCAGGGAATGAAGTAAAGAGGGACAGAAGTTGGTTTGTAAATACCCCAGCTTCCTGTCCCCTTGCTGGGACGAGTTTGAGTAGGGTGGGGTTTTTTGTGTTTTTTTTTTTTAATATCTTTTATCNAGGGTGGGGTTTTTTGTGTTGTTTTTTTTTTAATATCTTTTATCGATTTCAAAGAGAGGAAGGGAGAGGGAGAGAGAGAAACATCAATGATGAGTCATTGATCGGCTGCCTCCTGCACGCCCCCTGCTGGGGATCGAGCCTCCAACCTGGGCCTGTGCCCTGCCCGGGAATCGAACCGAGATCTCCTAAATCCTAGGTCGATGCTCAACGGGCTTGAGTAGGTTTTACACAGACCCCTGTAGAGGGGTCTCACAGGACTGAGTCCCAGTTGCTCACAGAAGTGACCTGTTGCTACCACGCCCTTCGCTGGCTTCCTTCCCTTCCTCATCTCATTTCTCACCTGCTCTCCTAAATAAAACACGGCACCCAAATCCCAGTTTTGGGGTCTGCTTCTAGGAAAGCCTAAACTAAGACAGCAAAGCTGTTAATCCAAGATCTCTTCCCCTTTAGACAAGAGGGTAGGAAAACTTGATGAAAGAGAGGTTGATAATCTCTATCTTTATCTCTCCATCTCCATCTCTATCTCCATGTCCATCTCTCCATCTCCATCTCTATATCTCTCTATCTCTCCATCTCCATCTCCATTTGTCCAACTCCATCTCTCTATCTCCACCTCCATCTCTTTCCTCTCTCCCCCCGAGACAGAATCTTGAGTGGAGAAATAAACAGACCGAAACTGCTAGTGCACGTGAATCTAGTGCCAAACTCAACTTTTTTTTCCCATTTCCTTCCACCTAGATCCCCAAGATCCTCCCTTCATTATAACTATGGCTCTCCAATCTTTCCTTCGCCTCGCGAGTTCCCTTCCAAAGCTGCCACCCGGGCCGACTGGCGGAGCGCATCCCTTCCATGGGTCCATCTGAGCGGAGACGGGCAGTGCACGGCCTGCCCACCTGTCCACGGCGGCCCTGCGCTATTGTACCTTCAATACATTCCCTCTGAGGTTGTACCACAGCTGATAAAAACCTCAACATGGAAATAACGTGGAGACCTTCTGCTCCGGCCTCTGCCTTCAGATAAGTGAAGGTCTAAACCATGGGCAGGAGATGGTTGGGGTAGAGCTGAGTCCTGCCGGAACACAATGCAGGTATCCTGCAGGTTAAAGTGTGTCCCTAAAACACGGGTCCAGCTTTTCCCAACTCTATCTGCTACCTGCCTCCTTTCCCTGGAGACAAATACAGTTGAAGGGAAAGCAGAGGAGGGAGGG